GCATCCAAAATGTTAAGGGAAGCAAAGGAAGGAAGACTGAGCAGGCAACCTTGAAAAGAGCCTACAGCAGGAAGTGTTCTGCCAATGCAAAGCCTCTCAAGGAGCCGGTGTGAAAGAGACCCAGGAAACTTCCCCCTGACTGGGGATGTCACATGAGAAGCTTTGTGGTGAACAGCATCTGATCCCATCGAAGACTTCCAACACCAATGGAATTGTCCTTGCACCAATTTCTGTGGAATTAGTGTCCTTCCACCAACTTCCTAGCTGCAATTTCTTCCTAGCTGAAGAAAATTCATAATATGCATCTGCTTAACAATCTGGAAAGAGAGGATACACATTCCATTTAGGAATATTGAAAAGATTTTTCAGGAACAGTGAGAATTGCAATTGTCTACGTCAACACAAGGAAGTTGAATTTCTCTTGTACTAGTGGAAAGATGTCATTCTTTTAGGGATTCAACCAAAATGTGAATGGTAAGAAGGTGGAAAATGAGAGTTGGAAACCGCTGTTCCTATATCGCCTTCTGTCCCCCATCTTAATCTGCTGTAGATTAGGAATCCCAAGCAAAGCCAATGCAGTATATTCTTTCCCACCCCCAGGCTATTTTGTTCTCCTGTGGCATCCCTCTTATTACACCTCGTTTCAACTTGCATCTCTAAAGACCTCCAGAGGATGGTGCCAGAAATGACTGACAGTTGGTTAAAAGCTCACAACAAAACTAACCCATGAAATTGCAACCTTTGCAATTAAGTGTATTTTTATCTGCACTCTTAGCAGACAAAGGCAGATGGCTAGAAAACAAGCCAAGCCAATGTGAGAGATGTCTTTAAAAAAAAAAAAAGAGAGAGAGAGAGAGAGAGAAGAAACAAAACCTTCAGGAGAGGAGCTTGGCAGGAAGTAGAAAAAAGTGTTGACAGCCCCAGAGCAGCATAAGGACAGTGTGGAGGGTTAGACCCCGAGGCTGCTAATAGATCTTGAGTGCAGATGCAGTGTTGAGTTTGTGCTCATTAAGTGCTATTTACTAAGGCAGGAAAGTGGTTTTAGATATTTTAGAATGATCTTAGACAGGAAGGACTTTCTGCCTTGCTTTCTAAGTTAGCTAGAATCTTCCCCTGTTCTTTTTCTAAAATTTTCTAAAATACTCCTTCATTTTTTCCCCAATATTTTGTATCAGTGTTAGCAAAACAAAAACAAATACCTTCTAAGAATGGCATTTTGGGGTGCATGACAGGGGATTTCGAGATGAACATTGCCTTCCTAAAACTAGTGCAGCTGCTCTTTCTTCCTATGCCTCGTCTTTCTCTCTCCTCTAGACTTGGCATTGCTGAAGAAAGTCGCTGCTGCTTTCTCTGATGTGACAGTGATGATAGTTCTCAGTTCTCTGTTCTGACAGTCAAAAGAAACCTTAGAGCTGGAGACAGAGAGGGAAATAAATCTTATTTAGGTGCTGCCGACACTATGAATTTTATTATAGGACATTGACTCGTTCTACAAGACAAGTCTTCCACTGGTGGCCAAAATGGAGTCAGTGGGTAAAACGCTTTGGTACCATCCCCTTCTTTGGGGAGGAAAACTTTGCTGTCAGACTCAGTAGGTTTAATTAACACATTAACTTGAACGGCTGAGAGTTGTTGTTTTCTCGGTATAACATCAGGCTGAACAATTAAGTTCTTAGAAACTGTTTGAAGCGGTAGGCGGAGTATACAGAGCAGCTTTGTCTGAGAGTGAATCTGTCAGGCACTGCTTGCAAATCCTTGGGAGTTTCAATTGCACTGACACTTATAGATTCTTTTTGGGGGTTTTGCTGTAGATACAGGCCTCTATCTATGGATTCATGGAAAGAAAACATATTCCTTTAATAAATTTTCTTTGCTCACTAGTTGGAAAACCTGGGTTCTTTACTAACTAAAATTCATGACTAAAGGATTTGCATGGTGCAAAATCAATAGTTTTTTCTGTGATCATCTACTATGTTCTAGGCACCTGTAGATGTAGAAGGACGGGATTCCTGAAAGCTTTGCAATCTCATTAGAGACACAGGGAGTGGTCTCAGGTGTCTTAGAGTGATTTTAAGTAGGAAAGAATTTCTGTCTTGCATTCTTAGAAGCCTCTCTTGAAAGGCTACTAAGAAAGTCAAATATAAATATCTGACATGTAGTTTGATAGCATCTGCTGTTGTGCCATAGTTCTTTGGAGATGAGACCAGTAGGAATCTTAGTGGATAGGGGAGGGATTGTAGAGAAAGTGACCTTTGATCTGGCTCTAAAAAGAAGACTGTCATTGAGGAAGGCAAGTCTCACAGCCACTTCTGCTGGAGTGGTAGCATCAGGGAAGGCCCAGCAAGAGGAATGTGCCCGGGTGTGTGGGACGATGAGAAGGCCCGTCCATCAAGACCAAAGGGTACATTTTGAGAGATAAAATTGAAAAGGATGTAGCTGAGCTGAATAAGAGAAGCGGGGCTTATTGGATTGTTTTGTATACCCACTGCTTGAGGAGCCTCTAGATGCTTACAAATAACAAAGCAGCCCTTTGAAGATATAAACGATTGTCATGGGACATATTTGACTGGCCCACAGGCTTTGAATCCAAGCCTAGGGGATAAATTTAAAAAGACAGAGAAAAAAATAAAACACAGATGCTGACACCCAATAACTCCTCACAGAGTTGAATTCTCCATGACAGCAGGAATAGCAATTCCTTGGTGTAGCTGTATGAGCCCTTAGAGTTTATATATGATTCTTGCAGGATGTATGTGAATCCCGCCTTCATACACAGAATTATTATTTGGAAACATCCTGATTCTGTTACACTTGCATTAATCTTTGTATAAATAAAAATATTAACATGTATTTATATATAGACACAGGCACACCACAATCGTGTGAACTCTGTTCCCTTTAAGATCATAGAAAGAAGTGCAGCTCTGGGTTTAAAAAAAGATGGGAGGGGAGGGAGAAGCAGACACTCCCCGATTGGTGGCTTGTTGTTATGTCCCCGATTGGTGGCTTGTTGTTGTTATACAAGCCTGTGTGTTGAAACACAAGGTGTTCAGGATAGTCTGGGGAGCAAGAAGCAGGACATGAGTACATTGGCTACTTGGGTTCTGAGTTAAGATGGGGTGACTTGTCCTACCCCCATTATGTCCATGAGCGGAGATGTCTCCCTATTTCTTTTTGGCACTTTTAAAATATATCAAACGTGAAATGTACCCAGGAAACTTTCTCCCCCCAGGCATGATGGGCAAAGAAAAAATAATAAAAAAGACTTTAAAAAAAAAGCCACAGGTTCTCCTCAGCAGAATGCCCAAAAACTGTGTGGTTGGAGCCAATCAAGCTGCTTGCTTTAGTCGCCAGATGTTCCAGGCTTTTTTGATTTCAGGATGTGTGTTGATCCAGTGGACACGATGTCATAGCAACTTCTCTCAAGGGTCAGTAAATACTCACTTGTGCTGAGCAGTTCCTTGGACATGCCTGGTACATCTGCAGGCTTGGTGAGTCACTTGGTGAGTCATTCGACCCTTCCCTGAGTGTTGGTGCTGAGGACAGAAGAGAAGGCTAGGCAGTCATGGTACTCAGCACAGTGTGACTCACCATCCACTCACCATGGGAGTCTGCAAAGGCAATGGTGGAAGATGGAGGTGAAGGTGGGTTCCAGACCAGGCACATAGCAGAAAGGAGATGTTTCAAATGACATTGTCAAATCAGCATCCAAATGACCACGGGAACCAGAGTACCTACAACAATAGGATTCTCAGAGCTGCATCAGAGGGCACTTCTGGAGGCAGAAGAGGGTCCTATGGTGACGTAAAGATCATCAGAGAGGAGCAGGGATGACAAGGAGCAATGAAGAACAGGACCCAAGAGAAGACGTTTCAGGGATGGAGTATGTGGAGGGTCAGTCCTCAGCTCTTCAAAAGTGATTCTGTGCAGTTGCCCTTGGATAGTACTGAAGTGGTGCAACAAAATGGGTTTGACATCTTACCAGCTGTGTAACTGTCTGTAAAATGGTCATAATAACTTCATATATCACAAGGATGGTGTGTGGATTAATTGAGAAACACAGGTGCAGCACTAGGATCAGACTAAGGGCTGGTCAATGTGGGCTGCTGTTTTACAGCCCCAGGTTCCTCTGGTTACTGTTGTAAAGACCGACATTGCTTCCTCACTGCCTGAAGGATCGATTCTCATCTCCTTAATTTGCCATTCAATGCCTTTTCCATGTTGCCATCAACATATTCATCCAAACTTATTTAGATGAGCCAGGCCTATTCATATTCTGTCCCTGCCTGTCCTGCCACTTCGACCTGTGCTGTCCCCTTTGTGAGTGATGCTATTTTTGTCCATTTGTATGCTGTCATTCTTTCAGATCCCAACTGCTTTCCCACAGCATCTGTGAAGCATCCCCAATTGACTCCTGACCCCTCTGCACTCCTGTATCAGTGCATTTCTCATGATTGCGGTCAGGTTCAGGTTACACTGTGGGCTCTTCCAGAGCCAGGTCTAGATTTTGCACTTTTTTTCATTCCCCACAATGCTCTGTACAGACTAGGTCAAGTGACTCAGCTGACTTTGTCCCCAGGCAGCATGGGGTATGAATTCCAGTTTATGTTACTACTTATTTGGCATGTGATTTCAAGCAAGTCAGTTAATTCTTCTGAGCCTCAGTTTCTTCAGCTGTAAAATGGGGATATTAATATCTGCCCTGCAGAATTTATGTGAGGAGTAAAAATGATTTATGTGGAACACTCACCTAGTTTATGGCAGGAACTTAATAAATGGTAGATATTATCATTACTTTTATGATTGCTGATCCAATAAATGGATGTTTATGCATTCAGTGTACCAAAGACCCTTGATGCTGAGAAATTTCTCTTCTCCACAGTTATACAGCTCTGCTGAATTTGGGAGAAGGCTTTTATGATTGCTGATCCAATAAATGGATGTTTATGCATTCAGTGTACCAAAGGGCCTTGATGCTGAGAAATTTCTCTTCTCCACAGTTATACAGCTCTGCTGAATTTGGGAGAAGGTGGCAGCTTATCCAGGAAGGGGTCGTACCAAACAGGTTCTACTGGTAAGTCTCATTTTATCTTATAACACCTTAAGATATCACTTAATCAATGAGCATTGGAATTCTGTTCTCACCCAGCATTTTCACATGATGTCTGTTCTTTTAGGGATATGCCCATGTATCCATAAGGGAGATGTAACATTGGAGTAGTAAACATTTTAAGGGAATATTGAAAGTTGTGTCACAAATTTCCACCCAAAATAGATAATTGAGATTAGTGAATAGCAGGGGATTTGTTAGTGTTGCTTTATTACATTTAAATGGAGCCTGTGAGACAGACATTTTTTTTTAAAAACTTGATAGTGATTTTTATTATTAAATGCATTATATGCACTTATATTGCATATTCAAATAAATATTTTCAGTATAAATAAATAGGCTTATTTAGTCTGACATTAGATTTTCTTCCCATTCCTTATTTCAGGTCTTCTAGACCTTGTCATGTGGGATACGACCAGTCTTCCTACTTTCTTACTTATACTTCCAGAAATGTTCTATGAGTTACCAAACATGTGTATATAGTCTTAGTTTGCTCAGGCTGCTATAACAAAATACCGTAGGCTGGGTGGCTTAAACAACAGACTTTATTCCTCACAGTTCTGGAAGCTCAGAATTTCAAGATCAAGGTGCCGGTAGATTTGGTTCCTGGCATGGCCTCTCTTCCTGACTTGCAGATGGCCACCCTTGGCTTTGTACTCATATGGTAGAGAGAGAGAAAGAGACAGAGACAGAGAGCACTCTGGTTTCTCTGTCTCTTATTATGAGAACACTAATCCCATCATGGGGATCTCATCTTCATGACCTCCTCTATACCTACTGTATTAGTCCATTCTGCTGCTTATAACAAAATACCTGGAACTGGGTGATTTGTAAGAAAACAAAATTGATTGCTTACAGTTTCAGAGGCTGGGAAGTCCAAAGTCCAGGTAACACATCTGGTGAGGATCTTCTTTAGTGGTGGCTTTACAGCAATGCAGGGGTCTTACATGGCACAAAGTGGCAGAGCAGAGAGACTCTCAAGTGTTCTTCTTTAAGGAGAGAGAGAAAGAGACAGAGACAGAGAGCACTCTGGTTTCTCTGTCTCTTATTATGAGAACACTAATCCCATCATGGGGACCTCATCTTCATGACCTCCTCTATACCTACTGTATTAGTCCATTCTGCTGCTTATAACAAAATACCTGGAACTGGGTGATTTGTAAGAAAACAAAATTTATTTCTTCCAGTTTCAGAGGCTGGGAAGTCCAAAGTCCAGGTAACACATCTGGTGAGGATCTTCTTTAGTGGTGGCCTT